GAATCGATCCAGGTGGGTTCTGCGGTGGCGCGCCAACAATTGGAATAGCGATACCATTTTCTCCGTAGTTTTCAAGGTTTTCGTTCTCAACTCTGTTCACTGAGCCGGACATTTTGACTTGAAATCGAAGATCTTGGACAAGAAAAAGTGTGAAAGATAACTTGCGTTGTGTAACAAAACTAGCAAGAAAATAATCACTATAATTTTTAGCCACATGGTGGGCGCCAAACTGTTTACCGTGAAAATGGTAATAACAATTAAATTTGTTGATAGGACTCTAAAAATACGTGATCTATTTTTATGCTAGTTGTTAAGCAGTTGATGCTAGATATGTAAAGATAAAAGATGAAATGCGAGTTAAAATGGAATTATAATCGAACCAAGGGGTTAGCTATTCTGGCCTCGGACTGACCGATGAGGGCCTCGAGGTCGATGCCTGGGCTCGGGCTCGAGCTATCGGGGATAATCGGGAAAGGGCTAACAGTTAGGATATAATTAAAGGAGGTTTTTTATGGCCAATGACGAGCAATAAGTGAAGAATAGGTATGAAGGCAATAAATATGAGCAATAATACCGAGAGAATATGTTAGAGAAAAAAGAAAGAGTTCTTGTATATTTCGTGTAGAATAGTCAGAACAACAGGGTTTACAAAGTGCCAAGGATCCCCCTTATATAGGAGAGGAAATCCCAACATAGTACAAGTTACATTAATGATAAAGAAAGCGGGATGGGACTGCTGACTAGATTCATGATGTGGGCGCAGACCAGCTTTAGACTAGCTTGATAGACTTAACCGGCCCCAGCTACATTCTTCGGGAACTCCTCATGCCCGTTGGGGTCTCGACCAACATTATCCCCAGGCCGGGTATCGATAGATCTCGAGGGGGAGGATACTTCGATCCGTGATCTCGAGCCTCCGAGGTGACCTCCCGATATGCCTTATTAACAAGAAACTAGTTCCCCCGATTTCATCGTATACAAATTTCTTCAACCGTTGGAGTAGTATTATTGATGAAGAACTCATCGTGTAGCAGAGTCTCCTTGCAGGACAGTGTGCTTGATGATTGAAGATGGAGTTTGTCAGGTGGTTTGGGAGGAATGTGATTGTGAGTAATGGGATGTTGTTGTAGTGAGAGGTCGCTCATTCTCTCCCTACCTTCTTCATGGAAGTTCGTATTTATACTTTTTAATTCTCAATAACTTTTTCTAAAGAGGGATGCAACACGAGGACTTCCCAGGGGGTCACCCATCTTAGTACTACTCTCGCCCAAGCACGCTTAATTTCGGAGTTCTGATGAGATCCGATGCGTTAGTACTGGTATGATCGCATCCGAGTGATTCTTTCGCTATGGAGGGAAAAGAGACATCTCATGAGGTCCTCACTCAGCTCTCACAAGTTGTTTGGGAATAACCCCACCAAACATTAAAAAACAAAAAGAAAGAAATAAAGAAAGGGAGTGTAAGATTGGTAAGTTTTACCGAAAAGAAGCTAGCCGATCAAATAATGCAAGGGGAACAATGTTTAAAGCATGACTCAGAATAAATTGCTACGTGATGTTACATTTTATTTGCTTTAGCTGCACACTCCATCACATTATTTCGAGTCGGTTACCTTTATACAAAATAAAGGTTGACATGTATGATTTCTTCTATAAAAATAAAAAATAAAATAAAATAAAATCAAAGTTTTAGCAAGGTAAAAGAATTGATAGTCCCACTTAGTGGAGAGGGTAGTGTGTACGCAGATCTTATCCCTACCTGGGATAGAGAGACTGTTTCCAAATAGACCCCGGCATTCTTCCCTCCAAAAGCTTCCCACCTTGCTCTTGGGAAAACTCGAACTCATAACCTCTTGGTTGGAAGTGGAGGTTGCTTACCATCAATCTTTTGAAAGAAAACAAAAAACTCAAGTCAATCTTTTCAGTTAGGTATTCTTGGTAAATATCTCCTTTCAGATGTTCCATATAAAAAGGCACCACCTCTTGAAAAACAAGAACCAGAAAGTTATATCCAAGCTAGAAGGAAAATAATCCAGCCATGGACTTATCAAGCAAGAAAAAAAACATCAATTGTTGTAGAAAATTTCTAACTTTTGGCTTTAATAAATCCCCAATGACCAATGATTCTCCCAAGCATGAAGAAGAAAAACATTCACAAAACATAATCATACATGGTGAAAAACTTGAGAATCATTCTTCTTGTTCTTCTTCGAACAAGGAGGCCGAGATTGATTATCAGAATGAAAATGAACAAAACAATAGTGCCACAATTAAACCAACATTTATTGAGAAGAGGAGAAATTCCAGTGGAGCTTTTAATATTTTTCGGAACTTCATTACTTGTGGAGCTGTGGAGACCAATGACTCCTCAATAGTTACCATGAATCGAACAAATATGCCTTCCTTTGTAGCTGCCAATGAGAAATCGACTAGTTTGTTGATGGAGATTTGTGAAAGTGAGAATTTTGTAGCGTCTCAACAAAGGTTATTAAGCACTGATTATTGGGATATTCAACCAACTAATGGAAGGTAATTTAATTTACATTTTATTCTTTAAAGTACGAAAGGAAACTCCACTTCATAAGATCATGAATTCACAGCTTTGGATCAATAAGAAAGATTTTAATCAGTCTTCCTCTTTAGCTAGCTAATAGTTTAAAACCACATATCAATGAACAGTCCACTTTTTAAATTCTGGTCATTGGAGTTCCAACAAAACTATTACTACTATATCCTTTACGACAAATTAAACTTATTCTTGCATTTTTCTTCTAATTTTATAACGTGAATAAATCTACAGAGATAATGTACTAGTAATATGTATAGTTTTAGTATAAATACGAATAAATGGGGAAATCAAGCAATATATCAATAGCTCCCAATAACGTCTAAGTATAGGGAATATCTTTGAAATAAGGTCAAAACCGTGAGTATAGTTGTTCTAAGTCTTTAAATTAGAAAATACTATTCCTTTTGCAAGAATTTGAAAAATGTTTCACAAGCAAATTAAAACCAAGTAAAGGTTTAAAGACTTCCAAATTTTAAAAACAAAATGTAATGTGTCAATCTTTCTCTAACGAATTAATGTAGATGTAGATGTATTTTACATAATTTACTCCATTCCAGGAAAAGCTGTAACGGGGCGAGTGCTTCCTCCAAGGAGAAGACTGAATTTGGTAGCAACAAATCATTTTCTGCTGCTTACAAACCTCTTAAGAACCCCACCTGCTCGTAAGTTCCATTCAACCAACCCTTATTTTTCCACAAACATTAATGTAATTTTGTCTTCAATGTGAGTAAATGATATTTACGTATTAGAACATTCTATAAAAATCATCTAAATTGTAAAATTTGATTTTTGGAAAGTTAAAACACACACACACACACACACACACACACATATATATATATATATATATATATATATATATAGAAGCAAACATTTTCTTTTCTTTTTCGATTTGAACTTCAAAGATTTATTTTCACACAAATCGACAAAATTGCATAACATCATCCGTAACGTGTTATTAGCATTATGACTCTAATTACCCTCTTGAATTAATCTAACAAAAAAGAAAAAGTTGCTCCAATGAAGTGTAGTTCTCGTGTACATTGCTTGGCTTGGTATTGAAGCTGATAGGATCGAAATAATTAGGTGTCGAGTGGAAGCTAACAAAATATATCTTCAACGGCGATAAAATGGACAGCAAAAGAGAAATATAACAAAAGAGACACAAATATTTAACCTGATTCGAGCAATTGACATACATCTAATTTCTTGACTCTCTTTCTTGACTCACTAATTTCTTCTTCTTTTCAGTTTTTGGAGCTAGATTCTTCATTTCAACTAAGTTAGGGTACTTCAAAAGCTCTGCATGTACATTTGAATAAAAAGAATCATTGTGTTAAGCTCCGATTAACCGATGCAAATTGATGTTTAAATGGTGATGTAGTGTTACTCAGAGAAAAAGTGAATATAACTTTTTGTAGTACTGAAGTTCCAAGTTTCCATTTTTTCCCCAACCTCTGTGAAGCAACTAAGCTAAACTTTGATACACGGCGAGGCATAGAGACACAAATATTGAAGTTTCCATCAGAAGCCAATCACCCTATAGGAGAAGTTTCTGATAAATTTTAGGCTGCATCTGTAAATGAGAATGCTATGGAAAAAATGATGTGTCCTTTCCTATTAGGATAATGTTGTGTCTAAATGATAAACCAATTTGGCCAAAGAAGGAAGTTTCCTTTTTTTGAAAACCACATCCAATTACTACACTGCAGTGTCTAAAGATGAGCCTCTTGTGTCTGAATATTGTGGTTGCATTGAAAGCATAGTCTCGTGAAAATTTGAAACAAAATGAATCTTTAGGAGTAGTGTGCGATGTAGAAATAAGAGACACTATAGGGTTCGAGCCATGGAAACAGCCCATTGCAGAAATGCAGGGTAAGGCTACTTACAATAGACCCTTATGGTCCGGCCCTTCCCCGTACCCCCGTGTATGGCGGGAGCTTAGTGCACCGGGCCGCCTTTTTTTAAAACAGGTTCTAAGTTGAGTAATATGTTGAGTATTTCAGATAGTATAAATTAAAAGTATGTTTAAGTTATGTTTGTGTTTGCTTTGGCATGGCTAACCCTTATGTGTGAGATGTGATAATTATGAATTGAGTTTAACTTAAGCTTAAGATAGCCTCGTCAAGGTGGTTCAGTTGGTAGAATCAAGCCCGTTGAATGTCAGTTTCAGCTTTGGATCGTGACAAATATTCATCAAAACATTCAAGCAAAACAGAGACAGCAATACAACATACTCTTCGCAATATGTACCATATTCTTTTCCATACGAAAAAATGCGATCGAGGAAATGGAAGTAAGCTGACTTTGCTATATATGAAAATAGAAATAAGCTAAAAGTAGTTCTCCTATCAAACGAGTTCTCATACTTATTCATAAATACAGGGAAAACTCAATATTTATGAGGGAGGAATAAAATCGTCATAAAACCATCACAAATTTTTCCTACATTGATGAATTCCATACAAAAAAATCACAAATCTGTAACAATTTTGTGACAGAGTTATCGTCATGAACTTGTAGTATATGTGGAAGAAGTTCCACCCAAGAATTATTCATATGTATGTATAAGAGCTTAAATTGAAGTAGAGAAGGTACACATACACACACACTCTCTGTTGTGGTGAGCGGCTCTTTTTTACAAATAGAAAAGAGCTCAAGGAATATAAAGTTGACCTATAAAACTCAAGATGTAGGCTTATTATGGACCTGCATTTTCAATATGTAAGCTGCAGGCTTCTTTCTCTTGAGCTTAATCATATGACTTAAAACTTTGGTATAACGACTCACCATTTGCTTGAATTTCAATCCATTCATCAAACTTCCTTCTGGCTGTTTCACCACCAACTGAAGTTGCTTTTCTTCTTCTGTAAAATGGTGTCCTAAAGAAGTTCCTCTACCTTCAATCAGCTGCTTCAAACTCTTCTTCTTATCTTCTTCTTCCTCTTCATTACTAATTACATCTTCTCTGTTTTCCACTGAATTGATTAATTGTTGAGGGTGCTCGGGACTTTTGATAGCTTCTTCTTTGATAATTACTGGTGATTTTCTTGTTCTTTTTGACATACTAATATCATAACGGAGTTTTCTTGGAAAACATTCACTTTCCATATTTTTTTTTTCTTCTTCTTGGTTGTTTTACTATTTGTTTAAGGTGCTTTTTCACAATCGGGTAATTAAATAATTCTAAAGTTTACTATTGAAGGGGTTGCTTAAGGATCAGTTTTGGAGTCATTTTTAAAGGTAAAATGTCAGTTTTCTTGGCTAGTTTTGTCCTAAATATCTCCCGGAATGTGAACATTTGTTCTTTATGCAATGAAGAGAGGTTGGTAGTGATGTTTACTGATGCTATGTGTAGGTGGTGGTTAAAATGGTAACAGTTTATTTACCTCGAATGAGAGGTCTTGGGGGTGGAATTATTTTTTTAAGTAGAAGATCTAAAAATCCCTATTAGTCGCGATGGGACAAATAATTCAATATGGTATTAGATTAGGCAAATATTTCTGAGTTCGAATCACTCTGCAGTTCATTATTACCACAATCCATCATCAAAAAAGTGAATCACATATGAGGAGGCATGTTGAGATATAACTAACTAAATAAAACTTTACTTTTTTTAATAATTTATTTGTTTTAAGTAAAGACTCTTTAACAAATTAAACTTTTAAACGGGCAAAATACCTTATCACCCCTTTAAACTTGTCACGAATTATTAGTTACAGCATTAAACTATTCGTGATCTTAATTACCTCCCTTAACTAGGTCTTTTGAGAGCCATTATCCCCCTGTATGCTGATGTGGCAAATTATGTGGGTGCACTCACCTGCCACGTGGATTTTTCTGTATGTGGTATTTTCTTGAAAAACACAATATATTTTTACCTTTTTTAAGTATGTTACTTTTTTAAATAATTTTTCTATAATACAATTTATAATTAAACTTGGATAGAACTATATTACTTAGGCTAAATTTTTTTATTTTGGCTAAAAATTATAATGTTTTAGTTAATCTTTTTTTGAATTTAACCTGAAAATAAAGATTTATACAATTGAAATAAATAGTCAAGGCAACTAAAAAGTTATAAAAATACATGATTTGAAATTAATTATTTTAGCTATATTTTTTTATAGCTATAAATTATGGTGCTCTAAAAATATATTTTTTTTACAAATTTTACCTGAAAAAGTAAAAATACACAGTTAAAATAAATAGTCATTGTATCAAAAGAAGAGATATAAAGAGTGTAAAATTGCAAAAAAATAAAAATAAAAAAAACTTACTCTATGAATATATTTTTAGAGCAATAAAAAAAAGGACAGTCCGGTGCACAAAGCTCCTGTTATGCGCGGGATCCGGGGAAGGGCCGGACCACAAAGATCTATCGTACGCAGCCTTATCCTGCATTTCTGCAATAAATATTTTTTAGAGCTATAAGTATGTTAGAAATAATAAGTTATTTCTTGCAATTGTTCAATCTTTTTTGTGTTATCATTTCTAGTTAAGTTATTGTTTGATTTTGATTAAGGAAATTGGTTGTAGCTGATGAGGCACAAGGGATTGAACTAGGACAGTAAGTCACAGTAATTTCAGGGAATTTAGGAGGGTATTTTGGGAGTTCAAAGGTTTGAAAATGCTTTAATTGAGTGGTATGTCCAGTAGGGTCTTGATGTGCCTTTAAATTAAACTAATGCTTTAGTTTAATAATAATGGGATTAAGGGGCCACTAGATAATGGGTAATACACTAATGGATTAGTCAAATTTGAGACATTCCTAAGTGGGATTAAATAGTTAATAGACAACTATTAGTGGAAGACTACTTTTTATTTTAAAAGGACCAGTTTAAGAATGATTAACTACCCACTAAGGCCAAGAAATCCGGAGGAGAAAAGGGGATTGAAAATTAGAGAGTACGTTAAAAAGGAGGAGAGTCATTAAAGGCAGGGAGAAAAAAAAAGATGGAAAAAAGATATTGTTTCATTGCATCTGTAGGAGTAATTCGAATTCTTGAACGGTGAATCTGATTCCTTTTGATTGCTTAAGTGTTTCAGTGGTCCACTGGTTCAGTTTCGGGTTTAATATACGCTTGGTTGAGTTTGTTTGTGGTGATATTGGTTGCTGCTGTTCGGTCTTTTTTACAAACTTTCTGGGCTGTGTCGGTAGCCGTTTGGAACTCCCAATTGCTGATGTTGAACTGATGTTGTATTGCTGCCCGTATTACTGCTGTTGCTGATCTCTCTTCTACTTTTATTTCTGTTCCAATTCCAGGTACACTTTTCGAATCGCCTCGATGTAGTCAGATAAAATATGTAAAAATTATATTTTTAGAGCACCATAATTTAGAGCTATAAATAATTATAGCCAAAATAATTAATTTTAAACTATGTATTTTTATAAATTTTTAGATGCGTTGACTATTTCAATTGTATAAATCTTTATTTTCAGGTTAAATTCAAAAAAAAGATTAATTAAACTTTATTATTTTTAGCCAAATAAAAAAATTTAGCCTAAATAATATAATTCTATCCAAGTTTTATTATAAATTGTATTCGAAAAAAATATATATAAAAAATTAACATACTTAAAAAGGTAAAAATATATTTTATTTTTTCAAAAAAATGTCACATATCCAGAAAAATCCACATGGCAGGCGAGTACACCCACAAAATTTGTCACATCAGCATCCAGGGGGTAATGGCTCTCAAAAGGCTTAATTAACGGGGATAATTAAGACCACGAATAGTTTAAAACTGTAACTAATAATCTGTGACAAGTTTAGGGGATGATAAAAGGTATTTTGTGTCACACCTCCTTTTTACCTACACCCCCGTGTCAGCAAAGGGGCGTAGAGGGAGTTTTTCCAATTAAAGGACAATCGAAACGGGATTCATTATTAAAGGATCAGAGTCGCCATTTGGGAGATTTATGGTGTCCCAAGTCACCCGTTGAATCCCGAATCGAGGAAAATATTGACTCTGCTTAACAGTCCGCGCACCAGAAATCCGAGTAAGGAATTTTGTTAACTTGGGAGAAGGTGTTAGGCATTCCCGAGTTCCGTGGTTCTAGCACGGTCTCTCAACTGTCATATTCGGCTTATTTATCTAACTTTAATACATGTTGAACCTATGTGTAAATTTAAACTCTTTACCGCTTTTATTATTATTATTTTTTAACAAGAGTTGCGACGTCGCAAAAATACATCTCGAACAACGTCCATCAATGCACCCGTGGTTATCGACACATTTCGACTCCGTCGAGATTTGGATTTGGGTCACATAAATGTGCACCCGAGTTTAAGAAAGTAAATTATTAAAAGCACGCATAAAGTGACTAGCGCGTTATCATTTTGGGAAAGCCATGAAATTTGCTAAACGGCCCGTCCCGAAATCTAAGCAATCAATATATACATTTAACGAGGGCCTCGTGATTAATTTATTTTGTTCGGCGAGGCTCGTCTCATTTTTATTTTAAAAGGGCAAACCTAAAGCAATCTATAATTTTCTACTTTATTTGTCTCTAAAAAAAATAAAAAAATAAAAGGAAAAAGTCCTAATTAATTAATATCACAAAATCGGGGCCTCAAGTTCAAGTCCGGATCCAAACGAAAGGACGAACCTTTTAATTTGAATCCGCTACCTAACTTAAAAGCCCAGTCCATCCTTAAGTGCTAACGTGCCAATTGCCATATCAGTCTTGGGCGCAAAGAGCCCAAGCCATAAAATTCATGCAGGCCAACCGTGAATTTTCAGTGGCCCAAAGTGGGCCTAGGACTAACCTAGTTCAGATGAACAGGATCAGGCCGAGAAGAGCGTGGGATAAGCATTTGCACACTACAATTACTCCAACTCTCTAGAGTGTGTTTACCAAATAATAATAAAATACTACGACGTACGCTCGTTCAAATTAACTACTTATTCGTATCCAATTATTACGACCAATTTGTTTAGTCAGTGCTAATGATGCCTGCTTATTTTAAACAAGTTACTGATGATGCCTACTGATATTGCTAGCCTAAACTATTGATGCCTACTGATATTAAGTTTAACTCGAAATCAAATTTGATGACCCATCATACATTTGCAACTCCAATCATGTTTCTGAATTTGATTTTTAACAAAATAGTGTTATACTAAAATGAGCACTATCTATACTAAAGCGGTTGCTAGATAATCATGAATTCAAGTAGTCCCAAAACAAACCAGCGCACATTCGAACATTCTGATGCTTCTGTTTCTAATTAAATTATTGTCCCTAACTAGTTGCCTACTTTGACATGAATCATTTATAGCAGAATAAATCAAGAGTTCAAATAACTTCATCTAGTACTAATTGTTATGGTAAAGCAAACTGACAACCTAGCAGCTCAAATTTGTAAACTAACAGCATGTTAACATGAGCATAGCAGTTCAGTAGCTCTTAATTACAATCCGTGTGTATCCACTATTCACATAATACAAAACACATAATGAATATCGACTAGGTATAATTAACTAACAATTCATCCAATTGTAAACAACAGGCAGCCTACAAATGAACACAAATCTGTGAATATTTCCATTTGTTAACTTCAAGGAACTACATCAAGGCGATTCGAAAAGTGTACCTGGAATTGGAACAGAAATAAAAGTAGAAGAGAGATCAGCAACAGCAGTAATACGGGCAGCAATACAACAGCAGTTCAACAACAGCAATTGGGAGTACCAAACGGCTACCGACACAGCCCAGAAAGTTTGTAAAAAAGACCGAACAACAGCAACCAATATCACCACAAACAAACTCAACCAAGCGTATATTAAACCCGAAACTGAACCAGTAGACCACTGAAACACTTAAGCAATCAAAAGGAATCAGATTCACCGTTCAAGAATTCGAATTACTCCTACATATGCAATGAAACAATATCTTTTTTTCCATTTTTTTTTCTCCCTGCCTTTAATGACTCTCCTCCTTTTTATCCTACTCTCTAATTTTCAATCCCCTTTTCTCCTCCGGATTTCTTGGCCTTAGTGGGTAGTTAATCATTCTTAAATTGGCCCTTTTAAAATAAAAAGTAGTCTTCCACTAATAGTTGTCTATTAACTATTCAATCCCACTTAGGAATGTCTCAAATTTGACTAATCCATTAGTGTATAACCCATTATCTAGTGGCCCCTTAATCCCGTTA